CCCCTCCAGGACACCTGCATGTGGTCTAACTTCTTAACAGTAAAGAGTGAAATGAATTACTTCACCCATTATTATTAGCATATATTCTCAGAGCTTGGGGCTCAAGGGCCCCAGACGTCCCTTTTATTCCCCCTTTGGATATAAAATAAAGGATTTTCTATTCAAGTTGTATCAAAATATTTTCAAGTTGAAAAATGTTCTTTCTGCATCAATGTAAGTTGTACCCAGTTTAGTTCACATGTATTCAGATTTATCTCAAGATCTCCACTCTACAATAATATTCCCAAGCCAAATTTTAATCAGATGCCTAAAAATAATTTAACTCTTCCCTGTGATGTCACCCTCGACCCGAGGTTTCCTAATTCCAAGAATTAGGCCTTTCTTTTCATCCACGTACACTTAATTCTTTTGGAGAGTCATATCTTCCACCGATTCAGCTGATGTGAGCAGGAGACAGAAATGTTATCACTTATTCTCTTTCCATATCCCATGAGAATGCAGTAATTGTGATTTCAGTTATGGGGGATAAGCAGGGCTTATCTCCTCTCATGTCATGGAGTGGTCTGAATTGTCCTTTGTTCTAAAACAGTATTTCATCCTCAAAACAAGTACCTGGGACTTCCAATCCTGGACTTACCACAGCCTAGCAGAATGCAGTGAAAACACTTGTGTGCTCCCTTCAAAATGCCAATTAGACCAGCCCGGCACACACAAAACTACTTAGTCCCAAGGGCTGCAAAATCAAGAGGCGTCTGCTATGGCTCTGGCTTGGCTAAGGCGTGCTCCTGGTCATAATCCTCGCTAGACCTGCCCGTGATTCTTCAACCTTCTTACTCCCACCCCCTACCTGACCCCTCCAGCAGGGGCAGTATGCTGAGTCAGCTTTTGAATCAAACCCAAGAAGAAAGTGACCAAGGTTACAGGGTTGTGCTGGACACTCCCTGCATAGCCAGTTGAGCCACTGATAAATACCAGGGCAGGGGGAGTCAGGAACATTCCGTACCAATGGCATTAGATATCAAATGGATATTAGCTACTGTCCATTATTATTAATAATAAAGACTACTGTTTGTTCAAACTCTTATTATTTGCCAAACCCTGTGCTAAATCCTTCACATACTTTATCTTGATTTCCCTAACCACGCTGTAAGGTAGCATTATTGCTCCCATTTTACAGATATGAAAACAGAGATTGGAAAGGTTCAAGTGGCAGGCTCAGATTTATCTGTTTTCAAAGCTTCTCCTCTTAATCCCTGTCCTTTTCTGGAGATGGTTAAGGGTCCTGATTGTTCAGAGATCTGTTTACACCACCATTTAGTAAGTTACCAAGGACCTCAACTTTCCCCGCTCCTTTACCTCTTAGTTCATTATCTTGTGCAAAGGGGAGAGAAAAGTTCAAGGCAAGAAGGTAAATGTAAATCATCCATGTGATATATATCCATGTGATAACATCTTGCCTTCACATTTTTGATGGCAAGAGCTATGTTTTTCAGTTACTTTTTGTCTTCCCTCAGCACTTCCCATGATGGTCTACCCACAATGGTTTCTCAATACTTTGATGCTTCAGTGACTGGCTGGCCTCTTGCTCACATTTGGGGTTAAGAAGGCTCATGGGATATAACCCAAGGTTTGTGATTTTCTGCGGGCAGAGATAATTTTTGCCATCTGTTTCCCTTTACCATGAATCCTTGAAAATTGGTCTCCAAATTGAAATATTTCATCTAGTTTTTTAGATGGGTCTAATTATATTATTTTAAGAAAAAACAGATCAAGCATCGTTGTTTGAAAGTAGTAAACAAAAATAAATCCACCGCAACACTCTCTTTCCTAGGAACTTGGAGCTAGAGATTGTTTTCATGGTATAATTAGGTAGGGACTTCTGTGACTTAATTTAAAAGCCTGAATTATAATCACCTTTTTTTTTTTTTTTTTTTTTTTTCAAAACAGTTTTCTTCTCTGCTACCCCTGGATGAACCTGGCTCTGCCTCTCCAAATTCAATGATGTCAGGTCAGCAGGGAGCAAATTTGAGACTGTACAATTCCCATCAGCTATTAGCTGGGGAGATGTTTTCATCCCCAAGGTCCAAGTTCAATGCTACAGGGCATGTTTTCTTTCTGACAGATGTGGTTATCCCTTATTAACAGTAATGGGTGTTAAGTGTGAATGTGAAGAAGACACTATACCCCTAAGATTTTCCCAAGCTTGAATTTCGTGAGGCCAAAGTAAACACGGTTTTGCTCTTTGGCTCCATCCTCCTCTATGTTTGGACAAACGGTGACACCTGAATAAGACTCCAAGTGATGAAATGCCAACACATGTGGCTTCTGCATATGTCATCTAAAGGACGTGGGTTTTGAAAATGGGTTCTTCTCTGTGTAATTGTTGGCCTGGCAAGCCATTGTGACCGGGTGAGGGAGGCGAGGAGACATTTCTGAACAGTTTTCTTTTTCTGCCCAGATGTCCTACAACTTGTGCCAACAAATGAGATAATACTCAGTACTGCGTTAATGTCCTATTTGAAATGCTTGCATCCCAGTCTACCTTCAGTTGATCTTATCAGTATCAGATACTGTGCCATCACGGACTGAAAAACAGGCACTGAAAAAAAGAGCAACTAAAATATGAATAATGAACTGTTCGAGATGAGACGGACAGTTCTAGAGGGCTGGCTCCACTTGCCTGAGAGGGTGTAGAGCAACGTCAAATAAGCCAAATAAGAGGCAGCCTTGTTTGTAAAGTACTTAATAGGCCCCAGAGGGAAAAGAGCTCAATGAAACAATCTTGCCTTATTTTTTCTTCCTTAGATTCTTTGCTCTATTTCATGTAACTGATGATTTAGAAACACTAAAATGTGCCGGTTGTAAGAAGACCCGTCTGCCAGGATTGTTAAAATACACGTTAACAGCTTTAATCTGGTTGGATATACAGCTATCAATAGCAGCAGTGGCTTTAGCATGCACTTAAACTCAATAATTTCTGCCAATGAGGGCTTAGCTGACATTTATAAATTCTTCACCAGAAAAAGAGTGGGAAATAATATGATTAATAGTAAGATGAAGACTCTTTCTTTTCCTCTGACATTATTTTAAGGATATAAACAACTCATTCTCTTCTTTGCTGGTATTAACCTACAAAAGACAAGAAGTCAACTTGTGGTTATTTCTTCATGACTGTTGGCCTCAATTCCCGGCTCAGGAGGTAACATAAAGCAGTTCAACTGGTTTCGTCTTGTTTGAGAAACTAAAATTAAAATCTCAGGAGTTACTTATTTTAACCCAGAAACAGGAAAGGAAGCAGTCTATCAGAAAAAATCATAAACACAGTTTCCCAAACGTGCAGACTTTTTACACTTAGTACCAATCTTTCACAAAAAAACAAAACAAAACAAAAGTAGTTGTTTTTTTTTCTTTAGTTTTTTTTTTTAATGTTTTTTGAAAAATGTCTTTCTGTAGTTGCAACCCGACACTGCTACTGGCATGTCATAATCTACTCTGGGGAATGACTAACTAAATTACTATATCCATAAATATTCTAGTGGAAAACATTTGCAAGGCTCATTTTCAAAAGTACACTGAAGTACCTCGAAGTTGAGACCAATCTCATAAGACCAAATTCAATTCTATTTTTCTACATTATAGTCAACAATTTCAAGGTGTTATTTTAAACATCACAGCTCCAAAAGTATGACAGAAAAGAGTTATATGCATGCTATATAAACCAATACTGCAGTTTATTATGGAAAAAAAAAACCTACTCAGTGATGGTGAATTCCATTTTTCATACTACCCAATTCTGATAGTCAAGCAGCCTCTGGAATTTATTCTTGGCTAGGATAAGTGATTTTTTTGGAATATAAGATTTGGACAAATGTATGTTATACTGGCTCTTGACACATTCAATCTTTCTGTTTTTTTTAAATCATAAATCATGCTCCTGTTGTCAAATTTTAAGCTTTTGAAGAAGAAATAGCACTAGGTGTTTATTTACCAAAGCTAGCTCAGTTGAAGTCATCACAACTAATTCTGGCTCCTTCCTGGAAATCTGCTAATCACAAATTACTTGGTTAAAGGAGTAAATGTGCTATATTAACTGAATGCTTGAGTGAGTAAAGTTGTTTATACATTGTGTTACCCATTAGACAAAATTCTATACTAGTTACTGACAATCTCTAATTAGAAGGGGTATTGTGTTTCAGCCAATAAGGCTTTATTGAGTGCCTTCTATACATTAAAGGATAGAGACAGAAAAAGAGATCACAAAATAATTTCCGGATTATTTTACAAGTTACAATCGTTGAGATAAAAATGTGAAAGTAAAAACCAGGACAAACAAGTAAATAACCTATCTGCTGAAGAAGAAGATCTTTTATTTTCATTTTTACTTTTGGTCTTCATTGTTATTAAATTCCATTTTTTTTAAATATCTTTTTTTTTAAATTTTTTTTTAACATTTATTTATTTTTGAGACAGTGAGAGACAGGACATGAGAGGGTCAGAGAGAGGGAGACACAGAATCCGAAACAGGCTCCAGGCTCTGAGTTGTCAGCACAGAGCCCGACGCGGGGCTCGAACTCATGGACTGTGAGATCATGACCTGAGCCGAAGTCAGCCGCTTAACTGACTGAGCCACCCAGGCGCCCCTAAATTCCATTTTTAATCCACTTATAGGAACAATTTGAAGCTTACTAGGTAAGTTTAGATCTAAAAGATTGAGATCTTAGCATTATCAACAATTTGTGGTTGCAATTCCTGGAAACAAAGAGGTAACATTTTTGAGGGTCTCCGTAGGACACACAACACCCCCCCCCACCCGCCACCAAATATATCAATCTAAAGAGAAGTAGAAATATTTTTATGCATGAATAATGAGTAGAATAAATGCATGCATGCATGAATAAAGAAGATTTTTTTAAGACTTTTTTCTTTCTTATTTTTCTTTTTTTCGTTCTTTCTTTCTTTTTTTTTTTTTTAAATAATCTGTACACCCAACCCAGGGCTCAAACTGACAACCCCCTGAGATCAAGAGTTGCATGCTCCACCAAATGATCCAGGTAGGTGCCCTGGAATGAGTCTCTCCTTAAGTTGAAAACACAAAGAGCTCCAATTCCAACCTCCTTGGTTCCCTTCTTGGCTTGGCAACTTCTTCCACACATCCCTAGGGTGAATTGCTTTGTCTCATGGACACTTCATCTTCCTGCCTGGAAAAAGGAGAGGAAGAATAATAATGCTTTGACTGCAGAGGTGGTGGTAGGAATTAATTAATATTTATAATATGCTACATTAAGGTCCTCAAGGAATTCATAACTGAGAATTTATATGGCACTTGATCATTGCTTAAAGTTTTTAAAACAGTCCTTGGTTTTTCAATTCAGGCAAAAAAAAAAAAAGAGCAACAAATCTTTATATGTCAAACAGTAGGATTAAGCATAGGAACATTTTGGCTTTCCTAGGAGCAATTATTTTCCTGAGGTGAAAATATTGCTTTGCTTTAGGCTATGAATAGAGTAGCTTTCACTTAGACTTGATAAAAGCCCAAGGAAGGAGGTTTTTAAAAAGCCATTTTAATAGCTTATTCTGCCATCTTTGGGTGTGTTTTCAACTACTTGTTATTCAAGGGGAATCGATTAATCTATTTTATAATTATTTAATTCTAGCACTTAAAAGAAACCCAAGAAGTCATTTGATTGATGTCCTCTTCCTGCAGAAATAGTATTGAGCACTTTTTCTGCAAAGCAACACTCTCATTTTATACGTAAGGAAATGAAGGCTTGGTGAGCTTAAGTAACAGAGCAGGGATTTAAACCCACATCATTGGACTATATAGCCTATTCTCTTTCTACTACCTCAAACAACCATTTTCAAGAAATGATACCAAAAGGTGCCCTGCCCTGTGCAAATAGGCATTTCTTCTCTTTGTTCCTTTCCTTTCTCTGAACTTAAAAATTAAACTAAGACATTCTAATGGAACTCGGTCCCATGCCAGAAAGCCCAAATCATCAGTTATTTTTGAAGTTTTTTTTTTTTTTTTTTTAACGTTTATTTATTTTTGAGACCGAGAGAGACAGAGCATGAACGGGGGAGGGTCAGAGAGAGGGAGACACAGAATCTGAAACAGGCTCCAGGTTCTGAGCTGTCAGCACCAGAGCCCGATGCGGGGCTCGAACTCACGGACCGTGAGATCATGACCTGAGTCGAAGTCAGCCGCTTAACCGACTGAGCCACCCAGGCGCCCCTTGAAGTTGTTTTTGAAGGATAGGTAGTTTATAATCATTTTAAAAAGATGCTTTTATGAATTTTTAGTGAAGAAACAATAGGTACATATATCTTTTTGAAAATTGACTTAGTTCGCTCAGTTTCCCTAATTACTTACAGCAAATTAAAATGCATGTTTTATTTTCAGAGCCTTTAAACTTTGTATTAAAGTATAATATACGTACAGAAATGAAATGTACTGCCTAAATAAATGTCTAAAGTCCATTCCATCTTCATCTTACAAGACATGGTGCCATTTCACATCTCAGAGAAACCTATACAAGTAATAATGAGCTCTAATACAATAATAATGAGCTCTAATACAAGTAATAATGTATAAATTACCTCATATACTTCAGGGTGCTCTGAAAGGTTAAGCTCATTATTTAAATTAAGATATTTTTATAAAGTATTATTATAATTGTGATTATCATTTTATTTTATTTTTTAAACGTTTATTTATTTTTGAGAGAGAGAGGGACAGCGTGAGTGGGGGAGGGGCAGAGAGAGAGGGATACAGTAGAGAACCCAACGCAAGGCTCCACCTCACAAACCACGAGATCATAACCTGAGCCGAAGTAGGACACTTAACCATCTGAGCCACCCAGGAGCCCCGTGATTATCACTTTAAATGATAATTACATACTTTTCTTTTGCTTTTGGACAGCAGGCAAGACAAGATAAAAGTAATTTTAAAAAGTGTAACCACCTCTGCGCATTATCACTGTCCTTAAACAGTGATTAATAACCCATACAAGTATGAATATGTATAAAATTTTGTTCATACAATTTACCCCCACACAATTGCATAGATCATCTTTGTTGCTTATAACTGGAATGATACAGCCTTCAGGGCCACAGATACCTAAACACTTGAATAGCAATTAAGAGGAGTCAGTCCTAAGTTGATATCCATCTGTGTCCTTTCATTTTGACTCCTATTTCTCTGTTTAACATTCACTGACATGTAAACAGATGGAGAGACCTTTTCAAACTCACATCATTGTTCTAAGCTGGTAAATACCAAATTCCCAACTATGGCGGTTCTGTGATCCTCCTGGGCTAGGAGCACCTATTTATGGAAACATCACCGATGAGCATAGGTCTTCTATTGTACTTGGTTGCATTCACTTATCTCGAGACAGTGAGTCAGTTCAGCACTACTTTTAACTCAGGTAGAAGGATATAGGCCACTATCCTTCTACCTAAGTTGAAAGTATGCCAAGACTCAAACACACACACACAAAATACATACACCTTGAAAGACTGACTTGGACTTAGTCCCTATTCTCTGTGTGTGTTATGACAGGTGTAAGAGCTGAGTGGCCTTCTGGGTACCATATCTCAGCTGTGCATCTCCTTCCTGGTCGTGCGGCTCTGGCACCATTAGGAGAAAACACCCTAAGAAAGCTTCCCCCAAGGGACCGAATTCAGCTTTTGTCTGCCTGATGAAAAACATAATTCTTCTCCTACAGTTCCCCAAGGATTTTCCTCAGGGAGCAACACATAACACTAAACTGCCCCAATTTGAAGAACAAGTTAGCTAGATGAGAAAGAAAACAATGTTCCATAAACATATTGACTGAACCTCAGTAGTTTCAGCTTAATTTGCTGTCAGAAGTTGGTTAATTATGTTCTTTTTTGGCACTGAAATCTGGCCGTAAGTTTTCAGGAAGAATGTATTTTTAGAAAATATTAAATATAAATGCAGGTATTAAAAAGATCATAAAAACTTTCTTAAGAGCTTTGTGGAGAGTAATTTATGTCTGAAATTTATTAGGGCCCAATATAATCACCTATTTAAATAATTTGATTTTCTAAATTTTTTTCTTTAGACTTGAAATTTCTACAATGTTTTAGATTTCCCCCCAAATTTTATTTACATGGAAATATTTTTAAAGGTCTTCATTTTGGGGCGCCTGGGTGGCTCAGTCAGTTGAGCATCTGACTCAGGTCATGATCTCACGGTTCATGGATTCGAGCCCTGTGTCAGGCTCTGTGCTGACAGCTCAGAGGCTGGAGCCTGCTTTAGATTCTTTGTCTCCTCTCTCTGCCCCTCCCCTGATCACACTCAGTCTCTCTCTCTCTCTCAAAAATAAATAAACATTAAAAAAATAAAAGAAATAAAAAAATAAAGGTCTTAATTTTATAAACATTATATGGTCCCAGAAATTAAGATAGATAAATACATACATACATACATACTTACATACATACATACTTACATAAAACAACTAACCAATAAAAAAAAAGTTATGTGGTGAGGAGTAGAGAGAAATTAGAACTGATCTATTGGCATATATTTTCCTACTAAATCATACAGATAGATCAGCAGATATAAAGCTATTCCAATTTCCCTTGTAAAGACTTGGTGATACTTTAAAAATTGCCATGGTAAGAAAGTGTTTCCAGATAGCTACAATTAATGATGAAAATGAATGGTCATTATCTACATAGAAACACTGTACTTCTGGTACAATGAAACTCAAAAACTAAATTCATAAAGCAACTAAAAATAAGTAGAAAGTCTATATGAATCTATTTCTGAGACAAGTCTCTTGACTAATTCAAAAAGTGTCAGTCTTTGCTCCCCTTCAAATGATCACTTGATTTCCTTACCTTCTAGTTACATAACTGATTCTGTGACTTGTAAACAAACATCCCCATTTCTTGACAATTCTGGATCTGTGGGTTTGTACTGCTGTTTCCCCGTGGAGGTTGAGAGCTGCATAATGATTTATTCTTCCCCGCCCCTGCCTTCTTTTCCTATTTTGCTCCCTCTTTTTTTGTCAAAGTAGGTTAAAAAAAAAATTCAAGGGAACTAAATGTGAAAACAAACCCTGGTGCTATAGGATTGAGGCCAGCGATTTAAACACCCTAGGCATAAGAAATGCAAAATGTGAGGGTCTCATACTTAGATGAGCTCCCCGCAGGGAGACTACTAATCTGTAGTATTTTTCAGCATCCCCTGGAATCCTAAACATATGCTTCTGTGTAAAGCAGCTTTGATTCTCCTGATTTCCCACGCATGAAACTCATAGCTTCAAAGAGAGCTCTGCATGCAAAAGATCCATGGTTGGGCGTTGGGGGGAGTTCAGGAGGAGAACAGGCTAGAAGGCAGAATGTGGGTGAATTAACATTTGAGTCTGTGCTTTAATTCCAGTTCTATCTTTCATTGTTGTCCCCATTAAAATATTGCCTGCTAGCAAATTAGAAGCTTTCTATTTTGGTGATTAGACTTAATCAGTTAACTGGAATTAAAACACACCTAATTCCACCACAGAGAAGTTAGATTCCAGATAGGATGTTATGTGGTAGATTTGATTTATTTTCCATAGTTTAGATTAACTACAATTTATACTGTGGAGGGTTGTACCATGCACTTACTGGCATTTTGTGTTGCTGATGGAATCTTCAGGAAATATTTTCATTACATAATCACTTGATGCAGGTAAAATAAAGATGAATAAACTAAGTTTTTGGAGTTTTAAAAAAATTTTTTTTGACGTTTATTTATTTTTGAGACAGAGAGAGACAGAGCATGAACGGGGGAGGGTCAGAGAGAGGGAGACACAGAATCTGAAACAGGCTCCAGGCTCTGAGCTGTCAGCACAGAGCCTGACGCGGGGCTCGAACTCATGGACTGCGAGATCATGACCTGAGCCGAAGTCAGATGCTTAACCGACTGAGCCACCCAGCAAGCACCCCTGTGCTTGCTATTTTAGAAGACCTTTTTTCCTAAGTATTTTTTAGACCATTTTCTTTTCCACTTATCAGTTATTCTTCTATGAGTCTGGGCAGTGTAAATTATTTCTTTGCCAAAGAATCTCTTGGAACGTCAGAATCTAACCTACTTGTGGACTTCCTTCTTTCATAAAAAGCCCCTGAAAGTATTTTATTAGCTGCAACAGGGCAGAAATAAGGATCTTTTGAAATTGCAAACAGCATCTTTGCATAATGTCTGGCGATTTGGTCTTAGTCCCAGGAGTGTTAAATATTGTGACTAAGGAATATTTGATGATCTCTTTAAATGATGTTTGCCCTTCCCCTTTAAAAAAACATGTTGTCCTGTGAACTTTTTTACATTAGTGTATTCCCTAGCTTTATTTTTGAAATTTATTTTCACATGTATATTTTGGATAAGATAGCCCTATTCTCTCTGACCTTGATCTAGGTGATCCAGGTTGAAAGTGGCAGGCCCCAGTTCTGTAGCCAGCAGACTAAAAAGAGATTCTGAAGTGAAGTAGTTGCTGAACCCAAGAAATTAAGAGGAGCCTCTGTTCTTCCCAGAGACTATCATTAGAGCTTGCCTAGTTTTGCTCTGGCAAGTTTCATAAGGTCTGTTAGAAACAATAGAAGCATAGATCTACTGAGCCGAAAGGGATCGTGCTTAGCCTTCATCTATTCTAAATCCCTTATGGTAGAGATGAGAAAATGCATCCCTGACAGGGATTGTGATCTTTTTTATTTTTAATTAGATATATATTTTTAAGTTTTTATTTATTTATTTATTTATTTATTTATTTATTTATTTATTTATTTATTTTGAGAGAGACAGAGAATATGAGCAGGGGAGGGGTGGTGAAAGAGGGAGAATCTTAGGCAGGCTCCATGCTGTCAGCACAGAGCCCATGCAGGGCTCGAACTCGTGAACCGTGAGATCATGATCCAAGCCAAAGAAAGTCAAGAGTCAGACACCTAACTCACTGAGCCACCCAGGCGCCTCAGGGATTGTGATCTTGAGGGGCACATTTTCTATTTGTATTCTTTTTTAAAAAGCCATTTCTAATTCAAGTTCATTTTAACAATATTTATACCGTACTGTGGACAGGACTCCCAAAATTTGTTGTGATTGCTGTGTTCATATGGTAGAGGAATTGAAGGGAAAGACTAGTTTGCTCCCACGAAAGGACTGAGAAAATACAGAGCAAAACATTGGACAAAACATAAGGACCTGGATGTGATTTGCCAGCCTCCATGTTAGTAAAAACAACTATTTGACTTACTTTATATAATCACTAAACTATGAAATAGAATAATAAAACAGTGTTATGGAAGATTACATGTTTCTCCATAATAGAACATAGTTGGTATTTTATTATTTTTTTTAATCGTTTATTTATTTTTGAGAGAGGGAGAGACAGTATGAGTGGGGGAGGGGCTGAGAGGGGGGGAGGGGCAGAGAGAGATAGGGAGAAAGAGGATCCAAAGTGGGCTCCACGCTGACAGCATAGAGCCCAGTGCGGGGCTCTAACTCACAAACTGCGAGATCATGACCTGAGCTGAAGTCGGAGGCTCAACCGACTGCGCCAACCAGGTGCCCCCAAAATTGGTATTTTGAAAAGGTAGTTTAAAATTAGCTTTCTGGGGCGCCTGGGTGGCGCAGTCGGTTAAGCGTCCGACTTCAGCCAGGTCACGATCTCGCGGTCCGGGAGTTCGAGCCCCGCGTCAGGCTCTGGGCTGATGGCTCGGAGCCTGGAGCCTGTTTCTGATTCTGTGTCTCCCTCTCTCTCTGCCCCTCCCCCGTTCATGCTCTGTCTCTCTCTGTCCCCCCAAAAAAATAAAAATAAAAATAAATAAAATTAGCTTTCTTACTCCACATACCTGCTTCCTGTGTATCTTGGAAACACATTTATTTACTGTATAAACAAAGTTGTAGTTTTTTTTAAAGTTTACTGCTACTTTTTGTTATTTAATGAGTAGAAACACTAGTTGAGGAAACAGTAGAGATTATCTTTCTGTTATTTCTACACACTAGCCCAAAACATTCCAAGTAAGAAAAAGTTGGTGAGTCTGTTGTCATGGATGCCCCCAAATGTCTCTATGATTTGACTGTTTTTACAAAGTCAGAAAAATTGGACCAATGCCTTTTCTCTCATTGCTACTTCTGGACTTGCTGTCTGACGGATGACTGGCACGAGTCATTGGTAGATTTAGTATGGCCTTCTGGGACTGTTCTTTACAGAGGGAATGGTTTTTATTTAAATGTGGTTCTCAGGCTAAGGGTTATATACCAGGAACCATTGTTACCAGAGCTCTCCAAAGCCTAAAGTGTTACACGAATACCACAGTTGGTAAGGAAAACAGTTACCCAACAGCGTCAACATCCTATTTTTATTTTAAAGAGAAAATTAAATACATAAGGGCAATGCATGTGTGTTTGTGCATGCGCACACAGATAGAGGTGTACCATAGTGGTGAAAAGCTTGAGCTTTGGAGTCACACAGACCTGAGTTCTACTTCCAGCTCCAGTACTTAATGTCCTCTTTTCTTAGACCCACAAAATGATTTTCAGTCAACTGTGAAGAATTAAATATATGGTATGGGTTTCAAAGTGCTTAAAATTATGTCTCTATGAACTATTCATACTCATTCCCACATTCTTCCAGCCAGCCATACCTATGATTCTTTATGACCTGCTAACCAGCCAAGCTCAGATCTCTCACTGCTTCTCCACCAAGTACTAGAGGGCTCTCTGGGATTCAAACTTCTTAAATTCAGTGTTTATAGTCCTTCATTCTTCCAGCCACCACTATCTAAACATCCTGCAGCCCCTGCCTGTCCAAAGCTTGTTTACTGTCACAAAAACATGCAGATCTCAACCACTAGTTGATTTGAATCTTCTGAGACTCCTCCTCTGATCTCAACCTCATAAGTCCTTATTCTTTTTTTTTTTTTAACGTTTATTTATTTTTGAGACAGAGACAGAGCATGAACAGGGGAGGGGCAGAGAGAGAGGGAGACACAGAATCCGAAACAGGCTCCAGGCTCTGAGCCATCAGCCCAGAGCCCGACACGGGGCTCAAACTCATGGACCGCGAGATTGTGACCTGAGCTGAAGTCAAATGCTTAACCAACTGAGCCACCCAGGCACCCCATCCAAAAACCAGTTTTAAATGGTAGAACATGTAGAATTTGCTGAGGAAAACTCATTTACCAAACATTTCATCCTTAGTCTAAAATATACAATTTTTAAGTAAAATATTTTCTTCTATTTCTTAGGAATACTAACCCTAACCCTAACCCTAACCCTAACCCTAACCCTAACCTTCCTCATTCTAAGAAAATTCATAAAATATATCTACATTGCAATTTCCAGCTGTGGCCTTGAAAATTTTAGCACTAGCACAATTTGCCAATTATGTAGAACCAATGAGTTCTATTTACAGTATTCTAAATTTTGCATATCTTCTACATGTTTATAAACTTTTTTCAGAAGACCAAATTATTTTTTGTTTTTTTTTTGTTTTTTTTTTTTTTTTAATTTTTTTTTCAACGTTTATTTATTTTTGGGACAGAGAGAGACAGAGCATGAATGGGGAAGGGGCAGAGAGAGAGGGAGACACAGAATCGGAAACAGGCTCCAGGCTCTGAGCCATCAGCCCAGAGCCTGACGCGGGGCTCGAACTCCCGGACCGCGAGATCGTGACCTGGCTGAAGTCGGACGCTTAACCGACTGCGCTACCCAGGCGCCCCAATATAAACTTTTTTCAGAAGACCAAATTATTTTTAAAAGCATATTGATTAATTTTAGTGGTAGTCTTGAATATATAGGTATGGCTCATTTACTGAATATTCACAATTTACAACACTGTATTGGATATATTTCCTTCCACGAGTATTTTTCTTCACAATATGCCTTTTTGGTTACTCTTACATTTCCTGGAAGAATAGCATTAAATGTGGTTCTCAGGCTAAGGGTTATACACCATATCTCAACAGATATGTCCAGGTGTATACCAACGGCCTGAACTTTTCTATCTGTCTTAGTCCTATTTGACATGCTGCTGGACCATCCTTTTCATCTTGAACTCCTCTTCTTCAGCTTCCTGGGCATCCTTGCTGGGTCTCCTGCCCTTAGCCGAGTCCATTATCTTCTCTGTCACTTCCTTCTCCCTCCACTACTTAAATGTAGATGCGACCTTTGGTTCTGCCTTGGTACTGCTCTATTGCTTCTATGTTCTCTGATTTCTGTCCTCTATCTCATGGTTTCAACATTTATCCTTATGCAGATAACGACCCAATTCTAACATAGTTATCATATGGAAAAATGATCAGCACAGAAAAAGAATTGCTCATTATATGAAGAGTGTTAACAGACAGCCTCTAAAAGTACTGTGGGATATTCCTCTAACACAGAGATTTAGATGTGGATTCAGGAAGTTTAGGAACACATTTCAGAAAGACTTTTATCCCCTTTTCTTTTTGGCCCAGTATATAATATAAAAATAACTTACATAACCAATTAATCACATAATTTTGGGAAACTTTTCCAAATTTAAAAATATTTCTGATTTGGTTTCATCTGAAAATTAAATGATAGAGTTTTATTTTGAACAAATTCAATGTTGTTAATTCTTATGAGAATTAGAAAAGTTGCACATAATCCATAATTTAAAGTGTTTTATGCTTAAAAATTTTTAAATTCCATCCAGTAATTGATATACATTTTCCCCAAACTCATTAATTCATGAAGCTATATATTATGAGCATTGTTTTTCTACCATTATGTTTTTAATAGCAAATACACAGAGTTTCAGCTACATTATCATTTAAATAGGCTTTTGCAGAAAGTCCATTGTTTACAAAACTCTTTGTAAAATGGGTTTCCACGGAGAAATGAGTTTCCAAGATGGAATTTAGAATCCTTGGCTCATACCTCTGCTGCTTAGCAAGAAGGGAACCAGCCACTTGCCTGCCATCTCAGGTGCTGAGGAACTTTTCCTCAACCACACCCTTGAGCAAGGGGTGAGCTGGCATCCTGCTCTTTCTTCGGTACAAAAAAAGGAAACAATATATTCCCCGTGCAACCTCAGTTCCCACTGACAGGTAATTAATTTTATGGTGTGGAAGTAGCTGGCAAAAGGTACAAAATATTCTTAAATCTGGGATTCTTGAACTGGAGCATACATGTTTTATCTAGGAGGAGTGGTAGACATTTCCTCTAAACCTGCATTAACAATAAATGTGTACTAAAAAGGAACAGACATTACTTTCGAGTCGTTTTAACTCTCCTTTTTAATTGGCATTTTCTTCCTATATCTAAGTATAAAATTAAACACAGTATCTAGTTGACATTAGTCAGTACAATCATGAATAAAAGTGTGGATGCATTGGGGTAATATTGCACTGGAATATCTTAACTACAGGAATGGTAATTTGTTTCTCCTGCCACCCTTAAATCTTATATATGAATAAGGGACAGTGGTCAGTCCTTTAAGAATAAGGCATATTTCGGGGCGCCTGGGTGGCGCAGTCGGTTAAGCGTCCGACTTCAGCTAGGTCATGATCTCGCGGTCCATGAGTTCGAGCCCCGCATCAGGCTCTGGGCTGATGGCTCAGAGCCTGGAGCCTGTTTCCGATTCTGTGTCTCCCTCTCTCTCTGCTCCTCCCCCGTTCATGCTCTGTCTCTCTCTGTCCCAAAAATAAATAAACGTTGAAAAAAAAAAAAGAATAAGGCATATTTCTGGATATCACAATGATCTGGAAAGTCTACACATACAATTTCCTGTGACATTTCTAACTTCTTAAAAGATACTTGTGGAGGCACTGACACCTGAGGCTGCCTATGGTCAAATAGGACTGTAAACATTACTCTTTCTTGAAACTTCCTTTCCCTTTAATTTGCTCTCTGCTTAGCAGCTTATTACTATCTGTGGGTCCTTTCTTTTCTCTATCTCTAGGAGAAAATTTGAAGATTTCACTTTCAACCTGTTTTTAGGTTGATTCCCACATCTCTACTTCTTTCTAACCTGCTCTTCCAGCTCCCACCTGGTGCTTCCACTGGGATCTCTCATCAGCAACTCAAACTTAGCATTCTTAAATCCAAACTCATCCCTCTCCACTCAGCAACTAAACTTCTGATTTCTCTGTTTCTCTTAATAATGACATTATTTTCTGTCATCCAAAGTAAAATGGTCATCTTTTATTTCTTCCTCTCCTTGTTGCCTCCATCCACTAAATTGCATGGTCTGTGCATTCTTGCTTCACGTCTTTCGTATTTACCCCTTCCTTTCCTCTGCCATTAGTACTTCTAATTACCTCATGCAAAGCTGTTACTGTTTTTGTAATTAGGATCTCTGTCTTGTGTCTCCCTCCAACTTACCTGACACAGTACTCCCCAACAATCATCTTTTGGTTGCTAAGTTTTCCAGGAAAAATATCCACTTGTTAAATATGTCCTTTGTATTTGACTTATCTAGTTATCTAAAATCAAGTAAGGGGACCATTTGGTACCTCCCCGTTCTCCCTTCCCCACCCTCCCATATTAAGCTTTACACCAAAACTTAATAGAAAGAGACAAGGAGAATGACTATCATACTTTCATTTTTTTACCTTAGGGTAAAAACTTGTGTGTTAAAGGCACATTTTAGGTTTACCTCTCTCCATGAATTCAGAATGGACTAATTAATTTCAGTGTTAGAAATGCAGCCTGCTACATGCCTATATTGTGTGCAGTATACACAAAGCTGAGAGAGAATGTAAGTGGTGAATCTGGGAGATTTGTAGGATGAGAAAGAGCAAGTAGACATGGCCCTTGTGTCTCTTGCTATGGTCAGTAACAGAGGCTGACCTATCTTTCACAGTGCCTAGCTTTCAATTTCTGATTTAGGTTCACAATACACACTTGTTGAATGATTGTAGTCTAAATTGGTTCATATCTTCACAAAATTATGGGTTACTCTAAATCTACTGCCTCCAATATAAGTCAAATGCCTTCTTAGTATTTAATCCTCAGTCAAAATTGTAATTTGATTTTCATTGACACAAATAAATTGACACAAATAAATGCAGTTATAGTGATTGTCTCTAAAAGACTTGAGGAGGAGGAATTTTTTTATATGGTACTTAAAAAAAATGTGCATGTGGGGTGTCTGGGTGGCTCAGTTGGTTGGACATTCGACTTTGGCTCAGGTCATGATCTCACATCTGGTGGGTTTGAGCCCCACATCTGGCTCTGACAGCTCGGAGCCTGAGCTTGCTTCGAATTCTGTCTCCCTCTCTCTGTGCTCCTTCCCTGCTTGCACTCTGTCTCTCTCTCAAAAATAAATAAACATTTAAAAAATAATTTTAAAAAATTAAAAAATGAGTATGTCTTAATTTTATGATAAACTAAAATAATATACCTAAAAACATAAATGATATACATTTTAGCTTAGGGGCTTTTCTCTGTTTTAGAACATATTAGTATCTAAACACTATATAAGAAACATATATAAGAAACTTAAGTAGCAGAAGTAGTGTCATTTCTTGGCCTTTCCTTGATACATTCACTGTATGAGACAACTTGTTACCAGTCTTACTTTTCTTTATTCATCCGGACACAGAAATTATCTCTAGGAAAGAAAGAGACACAGACCTATGGCATGCCACCAAGCCTCTTAGAAAAGATGCAGGCTTATCATGGAAAAATAATTACCAAAGAATAACACTCATGTGAGGAACTTCAACAGACTGCTCTTAAAAACACTATGGCTTTTTATTAAACTACTCAAAGGATTTGTAAGATGTTTCTGAC